CTGTGGTGGTGGATACATGAAACCACACGTGATAAAATTGCATAAAACTAAATACACATGCACGCACACACGTATATGAGTAACACCAGGAAAATCTGAAGAAGATGGGTGGATTGTATCAATGCCAATATAATGGTTGTACCATAGTTTTGCAAGGTGTTACCTTTAAAGGGTCTCTCTGTATTATGTGCTACAACTTCATGTGAATCTACACTTATCACAAGATTAAAAATGTAGCAGTTGAAAATGATTCAACACATATTCATAGCTTTTTTTTTCCCCTCAAAGCCCCAGTAGATAGTTGTATGTCATAGCTGCACATCCTTCTAGTTGCTGTATGTGGGACGTGGCCTCAGCATGCCCAGAGAAGCGGTGTGTCGGTGCGCGCCCGTGATCCGAACCGGCCGCCAGCAGCAGAGCACGCACACTTAACCGCTAAGCCACGGGGCCAGCCCGATAGCTTATTTTTTTAAAAGAAAAAATAAACATTGAGAAGCTTGCTTTTTGACTCTCTTAATGGTGTCTTTTTTATTAAGAGTTCTCAATTTTAATGAGATAAAATTTATCAGTCTTTTTATGATCAGTGATTTTTCCGTCCAGAATAAGAAATATTTGCCTACCCCAAGATCATAAGGATATTCTCTCATGTTATCTTCTAGTAGCTTTATCGTTTTACCTAAGTGTACAGTCTATGTGAGATTGATGTCTGGGCATGTGTAGATAGGAGTCAAGATACACTGTTGTCCATACGAATATCCAATTGACCCAGCACAATTTTGACAAGATCACCCTTTCCTCACTGCACTGCAGTATCACTTTTGTCATAAATCAAGTGAATACTTATCTCTAGGTCTGTTTGTGGACTCTATTCCTTTCTATTGGTCTGTCTGTCTTGGAGCTGACATCATACCATTATATCCTAATAATAATTTTATCTTAATAGTAAGAGGTGATATATAGTAGGTATAGGCCCTCCAACTTTGTTTTTCTTCAAGATTCTCTTGGCTATTCTTGGCTTTTTCCAATCACATATAAAATTTGAAAAGCACTTGTCAATTTTTATCAAAAAATGCTGGAATTTTTACTGGGACTGCACTGAATCTATACATCAATTTGGGAAGAACTGATATGTTTTCATTAATAAGTCTTCCTAGCCATGAATTTGGTGTAGCCCTCCATTTATTTAGGTTTTCTTTAATTCCTCTCAGAAATAGTATATAGTTTGATGTGTAGAGATCTTGCACTCTTTTATTTTATTTATTTTTTTTGTGAGGAAGATCAGCGCTGAGCTAACATCTATGCCAATCCTCCTCTTTTCACTGAGGAAGGCTGGCCCTGGACTAACATCTGTGCCTATCTTCCTCCACTTTATATGGGACGCCACCACAGCATGGCCTGACAAGCAGTGCTTTGGTGCACACCTGGGATCTGAACCCAAGCCGCCAGCAGTGGAGCACGCGCACTTAACTGCTACGCCACTGGGCCAGCCCCGATCTTGCACTATTTTAGATTTATTCCTAGGTATTGAATTTTTTGTTATTATAAATTTTATCATACAAAAATTTTTACTTTCTAATTTATTATTGCTATAATATATGAATACAGTTGAATTTTATATATTGACCTTGTATTTATCCTTTCCATTGCTCTTATTTCTGCATTTCTGTGCTTCCATCTGGGATCATTTTTCCTTTCCTGAATAATCCCTTTAGCAATTCTTTGTGTGGGTCTGTCGGTGGTAATTTTTTTTTCTATTTTTATTTTCTAAACACATTTGTATCTTCATTTCTGAAGGATATTTTGCTGCGTAAAGAATTCTAGGTTAGCTTCTTTTAGGACGTTATTCCATTTTTTACGGCTTTCCTTACTTCTGTTAAAAAATCAGGTATGGGGCCGGCCCTGTGGCTTGGTGGTTAAGTGCGCGCGCTGCGATGCTGGTGGCCCGGGTTCGGATCCCGGGTGTGCATCGAGGCACCACTTCTCCGTCCATCCTGAGGCCGAGTCCCACATACAGCAACTAGAAGGATGTGCAGCTATGACATACAACTATCTACTGGGGTTTTGGGGGGAAAAAATAAAATAAATAAAATCTTAAAAAAAAAAAAAAATCAGGTATGAGTCTTTTTGTTGCTCTTTTGAAGGTAATATGTCTTTTCAACCCACATTTTTTGTAGATTTTCTCTTTGCATTCTGCCTCCAGGATTTGTGGAGGAGAGAATGTTGGATGTGCAGCTTGACAAGGTAAGCTAGTACCAATCTGCAAAATGTTGGGCCTTTCTCTTCCTCCCAGATGTCAGAAGCCAACCAGGATACTGCCCTGCCTTTTGGACTGCCCCTGCCCCCTTTAGGAGCAAGTTCTGCTTGATACCCACTGCATGCACAAGTGGGTGTAAGGCTGAGAGGCTCCCCTACTTGGTTCTTCCTACAGTGGTATCTCAATCAATAACTCACACAATTGTCCAAGGGCCCTACCAATACCAATAGCTTCTTTCTGTGTGCTTAGAACACCCCAAGAGCCACTCCCACTTCTATCTTAAGCCTCTGTTATGCAACTTTTGTTTGTCCACCTTCAATCCTATCCCATCCGTCTTCTATTTTTCAAGGATTCTCATAATGTCTGATTCATTGGGAGCACCTCTTCATGTTTTTCAGTATCAAGGTATGGGCATGGATGCACATGAGTGTGTGCATATATAGAACATTTTCTGTAATATTTAGAGATTTTGGAAAGAAGAGAGGAGTTGGGAGTGGCTAGAACTTGTTGTCGGTCTGCCATCTTGATTCAATCTTGGCTAAATTTTCTAAGGACATATTGAACCTTTTTAATACCAAACACAAACAGCTGCTAGTATCATATGATCTAATTTGGAAATCTCTGCTTCTAAGGTGATGTCATTTTAAGTAATTTCAATTTAAGACTTGGCCCTCACGTTAAAATTGGCATCTGCATGACACATGTGAATAAATTTCATTCTCTTTTCTCAAAATTATCTTTCAGATTTTAACATTAGAACTCAAAACAATTGTGAGTTCTGTATTACAGAGATTTCTAAACATATAACAGTAACAATACAAATAATATTTTTGCTCACCTATAACACAAAAGGGGAAAAAAGTTACCTATTCTAAAAAATTTGTAAAGTGCCAAAATTCAAAAATAAGAAAAAGCAACTCAGTAAGATCCTGAAATGTTATTTCCCTACACTAAACCCTGAAATTACTTCAATCAACAAACTCTTTTGCCAATGCTAATAAATTCAGGAATAATTTATCATTGATTTACCACTGATTGAGAATTACAGTGTAAATCCCAAACTTTTAAAACTAAAATAATCTCTGATTGGTTTTACAATAGAAATTTTATATAAATAAATTCAATCTTGAAATAATATAAACTCTACATATTCACGTGAGTTAAATCTAAAGAGTTCAACAAAACAATCTTTTAAAAATATTTAATGCACATGTAACATGTTCTAGGCACTGTTCTAGGCAAGGAATACATCAGTGAACAAAACAGAGAGAACCGCCTGTTTTGTGGAGCTTATAGTCTAGTAAATACATATAATTTGAATAATCTGAACTTGGCCTTTTCCTACAGAAATTACTAATAAGGTAGATAAATATTTTATGCCCAAACACAAATATAGGTATCTCCTATAGCAGTCCATCACACAATCATATAAAAATATGTTTGAGAACATTTATTTAGCTACTGACTTCAAAATAGTAGAATATCAATATCTTGTGAGAGAATGTGAGCAAGGCCAGGTATCCTAAAATTTATCTGCCTAAGCGATTCACTTGGAAAAGGCAATATTGGTTGGGTTTTAGGTAAATGTGCTAGATTTTAGATAACTCTTAACAGATCTTAATTTTTATCCCCAAACCAAGCAACTAAAATAATCCAGATGTCAGAACTGTGCAGACTGAGGAAAACACAGGGTCTAGCAGGAGCAAGATTTTGATCATCCAGAGTTGTACTGTCCAACATGGTAGCTACTAGTCACACGTGGTTATTTAACTTTGAATTAATTAAAATTTTAAAATTTAGCTCCTCAGTCACATTAGCCCACATTTCAAGTGTGCGATAAGCACCTATAGCCCGTGGCTGCCCTAGGAACAATGCAGATATACAACATTTTCAACATTGCAGAAAGTTCTATTGGACAGTGCTGCCCTAGAGAATCAGAAAAGACATGCCATTCCTGGGAAAAACAAAAATTTCCTAAAGAGGGCTACAAAAAGTCGCGATTATAATAGCAAAAAAATAAGTTTTCTTCTGCATCCCTTGGCTGTTTCCATTCCTGCATCTTATTTTCTCTTCGTCTCCGAGAAAATCTCTCTCCTTTCCTTACTCTTTTTCTCCCCATCTTCTCTGATTTTTCCCTAACCCATTTCTCACCCCCTTCTCTCATTATTTTTTCTAGTAACAAATATGCAGTCCATATTTAATGATTTCACCTATTTATTGAGGTTTTTAATTTTTTTTTAAATTTCTCAATGTTAAAATTTAAGGAGCGGAATCTTTCCAATATGTTTTCCCCAAAATACTATGTTTATATGAGACTTTTTTTTTTTTAAGGTATGTGTCCTTCCGTGTATTTTCCTCTCTTCCTTAGAAAGACTTTCTCACGTACAACCCGTGGTGAAAGAGATACGCAGTTTTAGGTCCAGCCTCTAGGGTTTTCCTCTATCAAGCAAGGGCTCAGTCCGCTGGACCTCGAGGTCTGCGCTGCACTCCTACTGCCGCTTAGCGGAGAGAAGGGCAAAGACTCCTCCGTCAGTTTGGCGGTTGCCAAGCGACAGACGCTGTGCCCTGCCTGGCCTAAGGAGGAGGGCGCCGACTAAAAGATGCTGACAGATACGTAACAACGCCGCTTTCTATTGGCTGAAGAGCTCTCAGCCATCGCCATGAGCCAATGAGTGGATGCATACGGATGACGTAGACGCTATGCGACTCCTCCCACTTACGCTCTAGCGACGCGTCTGGAGATCGCCGATACCCACGTTGAACCCTTGGAGGTCTCGACCGCCCTCATGTACACCTCGCAGCTCGTGCTACTGCAGGTGTTCTTCCTGATGGTCCCTGAGGGCGGCCGGTCTCAGCCCTCTTCCTCCCCGTCAGAGGCAGTGCCCACGCCTCCAGAGCTGGGGCCAAGGACGCAGGGCGGGACCCTTCAGTCCTCTTCGGAAGGGACTGAAACTCCCTGGACCCTGCCTGGGATCTCCACGGTGGGCCCCACTGTCGTGACCCCCTCGGCGCCTGGGAATAGGACCGTAGACCTCTTCCCAGGTGAGGGGAGGGGATGTGAGGACGGAAACTGCTGACTTAGATCTAAAATTCTGTGAACGAAGTGAATGCCACCAAGTAAGGAGTGGGGCTGTCGGAAGAGGGGGAATTAGCATTTGGGAGAGTTTGGGGATCCGCCTCCCATTCATTCTGCTTTCTGTTGTGCTTTCTTAGTCTTACCGATCTGCATCTGTGACTTGACTCCTGGTGCCTGCGATATAAATTGCTGCTGCGACAGGGACTGCTATCTTCTACATCCGAGGACAGTGTTCTCCTTCTGCCTTCCAGGCAGCGTGAGGTGAGCTGCGGTGCTCAAGTTCACTTCTAAAGCGGATTGGGGCTCTAGAATAGGTAATATTTGGAAGTAGGAAAAGTTCGTCTTCGTGCTCCCGCCCCCACTTCCACTCCTAGGACTGGAACTACCTTAGTTTTTTCCCGGAGCAGCGTTCCCCTTGTGATTCTCTAGAACAGGGCTGTCCAATAGAATAGGACCTTCCTGTGGTCCTATGGCTGCCCAAGGAGACCTCTCTTTGGCATCTGACTTACATCCATGGGGCACCCTTCTTTAGACCTAATCCTCCGCTTCCAATTGTGTCTATTCTTCATCCTATTTTCTCACAGGTCTTCAAGCTGGGTGTGTGTGGACAACTCTCTTATCTTCAGGAGTAATTCTCCGTTTCCTTCAAGAGTTTTCATGGATTCAAATGGAATTAGGCAGTTTTGTGTCCATGTGAACAACTGTGAGTAGAAATATGTTTGCTGTTCTTACTGCCTAACATTTATTGAGAGTTGGCTTTGTCTCTGGCCTTTTTTTCCTTTTCTTTGTTTTTTAAACTTTTTCTTTTTGTCCTTTGAATCTCTATCATCCTCCCTCTGCTACTACATGTCCTCCTGCTCTGTCTCTCTCTTATTAGTGAACGTTTGCAATTTCTTATGCCCTATTGGCTGTGAATCAGAAAACCCACACAGAACTTTAGTTTCAGTCATCCCTCTTAGCTCAGATAAGTACAGATAGACTGTATCCCTGACTTGCTACAGTCTCCATGAAGGCACTCACTGAATCCCCAGTACCTGACGCATAGGAGGCACCAAATAATACTTAAATGAATGTCTTTGACAAATGAGTCTATACTAACCTTGTTTTTATCGCATGAGGCAACAGTGTAAGAGCCTTGGATCTCAACCCTGCCATTTACTTACCAGCTGCACCGACTTGGGCAAATCCCTTATCGTTTCCAGGCTCATTTCTTCAACTGCAAAATGAGAAATAATATCACTAGCCCTGGATGTGAAAGTGCTCTGTAATGGTGGAGTGCAATAAAAATGAGAGTAGTTGTTATTAAGGTTTTTAAATAGACTTAGGAGTTTGCGAGTGAGGGCTATAATGTTTCCAAAGATATGAAGCTAATACGTCTTTTTTTTTACTCAGAAGCAAAATAATGTTTTCACACAAAATAGACTTAAGTTTTAGTCCCTTACACTCTGCAAGTCAGCTCATGTTAATTTCCTCTGACTGTTAGAAAAGAAATTGCAAACCTATATTTTTTTTTCAGAAGACAACCAGTTTTGGGTTTGGGGGGACTTGAATTTGGAAGCAGTTACCAGGAGCCTTGTGACCATTCAGGTTGTGAGAGGGTAAAGGGAGCCAGGCAAATGCTCCATTTTAAAATATGGCTACGGCTGCCCCATCCTTTCCAAAACTCCCACTGCCTTCTAGCTCCAGCCTTTTGATCATGCTCCAGGGCTACTGCAATAGCATCCAACTGGTGCCTGCTTTTAATCTCCCCTCCTACCTCCCATACTATCCTGCACACTGCTTCTGAACCAGTGTTTCTGAACTTTCTTTCCCCAACAACACCTGAGAGTCACTCTCTTGGAACTTATAGGATACTTAGAATTGGTACCAGTTTTTATGAACATTGTGTCTCCCTGGGTAAATTGTCAGCACCTAGAAAGGATGGACCATATCTTCCTTTGCCCGCAGTGCTTAATATATGCTGATAATGATCATGAGTAACGGACATTCTTAGTCAAAGTCTGTACAGCATTATGGAGTGGGGAAAACCCTAGACCAGGAATCAGGAGATCTGTGGTCTACTCCTGACTCTGAGGATGGCTCTGGGGCCTTTCACAACTCATTTACCTCTCAGGATCCAAATTTCCTGATGAGATTGGGCCAGATGATCTCTAGGCTTTTTCCCCCATCTGAAATTGTACCAATCTAAGTCTAAATGCCTTTAAGCTCTGTTAGATATAATATACCATGTACGATGGTAGAAATTTTAGGCAAAAACTCTGGTTATCCTTAGCCTGTTCTCCTTATCTGCATTATCCTTGCTTAACCACCACTACCACCAATATCCCGCACTAAAGTGAGAGACAAAATGTTACCTTTCTCTTATTCTTTTAAGCCATGAAACAACAGCCAGATGGATATTTGCCATCTCAGCTTATCTTCTTTCTTAGCTTAACTTTAACTTTTCTTTCATTTATAAAGATAGAAACAACTGCATTTTTATGAGGTAAGTATTTCTTCCATATGGTTTTCAGAGAATGAGTTCTGAAGAAAATATTGAACAGCTCCTGGAAGCTTCAAAGTTTGAAGATTTCAGGTTAGAGGTGGAAGAAGGTGGTCTGCAAACCAGCAGCACTAGAGTCGTCTGTTCAAGAGCCATGCTTGTGAATCTCTAATATGCATGACATCGCCTGAAGATCTTGTTAACATGCAAATTCTGACTCAGTAGGTCAGAATTTCAGAATTCTGAATTTCTGATGACTTCCCAGGTGATGCTGGGGCTGCTAGTCTATGCACCACACTTTGAGTAACAAAGATCTAGGAAATGTATAGAGAGTGAGTAATCGAAAGGCCCCAGAATTGAGAGTTGTCTTCACTTCATGTTCTATCAGAAAGCTGAAAAGTCGAATAGTTAAGACTTTGCAATCACAGAGGATAAAGGTCAAGCTTATGTAATGTGGAATCCTCATTAGCTTTCAGTGATGCAGATATTGATTCCTTTCTGAATCTGTCCAAATGACCATAATTATGGAGAATGAAAGGAACTAGTATGGGGCATGTTTCTGCTATCTTCCTTTTTCAAGTTAGCAAAAGACTTGGGTGGTAAAGCAGAGTGTCATCCATCACTGGCCACCCTCTGTGCAAAGGACAGTGTCAGAACCCTTTTCCTACGTCTCTGTCCTGGTTCTGAAGTGCCATAAGGAGACGACTGCAAAAGCTTGGATAGATTTATACGTTGCTATAATAGAAATTATAGAATTGTTATAGAAAATCCCCTTTTGGGGTATCTGAAATCTTGAATGTAGAAATTATCAGGTGAAAGGAATAAAATATGACAAATCCAAGTACTTGAGAGATGAAAACATTATTAGGACTGGTCAGTTGAAGTTTAGAGACAACTGGAAGATTTGGAGAGGACAAATCAAGTATTGTCTCCAACTTAGCCATGTTCCAATGGAAACAGTACCATTTTGTTGTACTAGAGACTCATCTGGTATGAGGCAAATGTGAGCATTGTTGAGCCTCCACTTTTCATCACAAATTGCTAGTCATACACATTCCTGGCATCAGAGACTTGGAACTGACTGGCATTCATTGGTCATATTCTTTTCTCAGATCTTAATACTAAAACAATAATTCATTTAACAGATTACAAATAAATTAGAAGGTGATAGAAATGAGAATCATTATCTCTGAAGAGTGGGAACTATCTGAGAAAATGTTCTATAACTTAAACTGAGTATTAGTAATAAAAGTATATAAATGTGTAAAAATTCTGAGTTTGCACTTAAGATTAGTGCATTTGCGTACTTTACTGTGTATATCATGCCTCAATAAAAATATTTTTAAAAATTAGTTGGTTTCCCAGATATTTAAGAGTAAATGTTTTTATTTTATCTAAACCCCCTTTCTTTTTAAAAATATTTTAGCAAAACTAAACTATTTCCAGAAGTTCCAAAAGGTCAATGCAACCAACTTCCAGGCCCTGGCTACAGAGTTTGGAGGCGAATCATTCACTTCAACATTCCAAAACCAGTCGCCAGCACCTTTTTACAGGGTGAGCCTGGGAAATGGGGGGAATTGTTTGGTTTGGTTTTACCCTCATAGCTGACAATTGATCAGGCATCTTTGAGGTACCCACCTATAACTAGATAAACCATTGTCCACTCTTTTGGAGGGCAGTATTGTCCACATTAACAAACTGTTGAGTTAACTTTTGTTTCTACTTTTTCTTTTCTGTTGGAGTTCAGTCCAATCCCACTCTAAGTAAATTTCTGCTCTACTTTATTTAGGCTGGGGACCCCATTCTGACTTACTTCCCCAAGTGGTCTGTCATAAGCTTACTGAGGCAGCCTGCAGGAGTTGGAGCTGGGGGCCTCTGTGCTGAGAGCAATCCTGCAGGTGAGTCCAGAGCAGAAGTGCCAGCCTTTTTGTTCAGTTCAGACTGAGCTTTCTCCCTCAGGATGGATCATAAGACTCAGACTGAGTATTGTAACCGAGGTGCTATAGAGTTAAATCCCATTCTGATTGTATGCTAGGGAGAGTCTTAGGGGGCGAGTGTGATGTTGTCAGGCCAGTATAGCTAGGAACTAAATGGCATATAAGACCCTGGAAAGGAAGACTAACTTCTAAATACTACTTAAATGCTGGGGAAGCTTACCAAAGAAAGTTAGAGAACTACTAAACTAGAAAAGTTTAAGAAAAAGAATTAATTTGTCTTAAATAGTCTATGTGAATTTAGGCAGACAACTTGACCAATGATGTAATATATTCCACCCTTCTGGGACCTAATATTTTTACACTGTATGCTTCTAACTCATAAGGAGTTTGTAGGCTTGCTTTTCAACACTTAAAATTTGAAGTAATTAAGAAAACAGCATTTAACAATCTGCTAGATTCCAAGTAATCACATCTCAAAAATGAGGGATCAAGTCTGAATCTTTAAAATATCAATAATTCCAAAACAAGAATAATTTAAGATACTCAATACTGATCAAACATCAGTATTTCTTGCTTGATAGAATACCAGAATAAATGAACTCACTAAAATCCAGATGTATTCCAAATATGAAGAACTTGAGTGTCTATATCATCTTACACAGACTTTATAACCAGACAATTTGCCCAAATGTGCTGTCATACAGATAATCAGATGGTGCATATGTATACGTATATATATATATATATGTATAAGTATGTATATATAGTTATGTTTTGAGCTTTTATTTTGTCCTATTGATATTTTGGAATTGGTTTTACAAACTTTTACATTATCAACAAACATTTATTTTATTCTTTATGATTATCTCTAAATGTCCAAAAAGTAATACATATAAATGTATGAGAAAACTACAGAAAGATATGACAGGGCCGGCCCCGTGGCTTAGCGGTTAAGTGCGCGTGCTCCGCTGCTGGCGGCCTGGGTTCGGATCACGGGCGCGCACCGAGGCACCACTTCTCCGGCCGTGCTGAGGCCACGTCCCACATACATCAACTAGAAGGATGTGCAACTATGACGTATAACTATCTACTGGGGCTTTGGGGAAAAATAAATAAATAAAATAAAAAAAAAAGATATGACAGTGGAAGAGAAAAAAGGACTTTATAGATGTTGATATGGAGAACACATGGTATTGTAAGAAGTAATTTTAGAGAATAAATCAGCATATCTTTTTTTTCTTCCTTGTAAAGAACAAAAAAACAAATAAATAAAGTAGGCTTTCTCATTTACCACTCTCTTAATTCTTTGTGTTCTAAGCTTTCCTAGAGAGTAAAAGCACAACCTGTGCTCGTTTCTTCAAGAACCTGGCAGATAGCTGTACCTTGGATCCATCCCTCAATGCTGCCTCCTACTATAACTTCACAGTCTTGAAGGTGGGTGTCCCTTCTCTCCCCACTGTTACCACTATGGATTTAAAGTCAGCATGCTTCCCACTGTTGGGCTGTGGAAAAAGCACTGAACTAGAAGTCAGAATGCCCAAGAGTTACATAAAAGGCAGAGAAAACCCTATCATCTCAAGAAAGATGAAAGAATTAAGGATATATAGCCAGGATAAGAGATTCTCACCCTCTTGGCTGATGGGATTGGCTAGGTAGAGTTGGAGGCTGTGATATGTCACTATTTCACCAAAACTTCTTGCTTTTGCTGTTTGGTCGAGCTCTCCTCAGAGAGGATGGGCATCACAGTCCATCCAGCCTCCCCTCAGCTCTGCTCCTGGCAATTTCTCTCTCTCTCTCTCTCTCTCTCTCTCTCTCTCTCTCACATCTTCCCTCCCACCCCCCGCCCCCCCCAAGTAACATCTGTTACCAATCTTCCTCTACTTTGTATGTGGGTCGCCACCACAGCATGGCCACTGACGAGTGGTGTAGGTCTACACCCAGGCCTCCGAAAAAGGGTGTGCTGATCTTAACCACTAAGCCACCAGGCCAGCCCCACTTCTCCTGGCTTTTTAATGTGAGGAAGAGTCACGTAGAACATAGGAAGAAAATCATTCTAATATGTTGATTTTTTTTTTTTCCCCCAAAAGCTCCTGGAGATTTTATGTAAGGTATATTTACATTCATGTCCCTGTTGTTCTCTTACACTAGGTTCCAAGAGGTATGACTGATCTGCAGAATATGAAGGTATGATGCTGTTCATCAGGAAAAAGGAAAGAGAATATTTGGTCCCTTTGCATCTGAGACAATTTGGTCTAGATTGTAACAGTGAAAGAAAATGTGTGTGTGATGTATCAAACGGTTAAGTATGAATATAAAACAATGTTTTCCCATGTGTATTCTATATGATTAATAACCATCATAGGAAATAAGAATTCATAAGGTGTTAGATAAGTTTGGGAAACATTGGGTTAAATAAAGTTAAACACTGTATTTAGGGTGGGCTTCTTGGAGTCTTTAATATGCTAGAGGGCCTTGTTAATCTCTAAGAGAGGAGTGTTGAATATAGTATTTCTAAAACTTATTTGACCATGGACCTTTATTTTGTATCTCATAGAATTAATGTTCTTAGAAATATGTTTTGAGGAGTGCTGATTTCGATTGACTTTTGAACTTAAGTTGTAGGTTAGCAATGGATGGAAAGAGAAAAGTGATGGTCGAGAATTAAAAATACTCATTTCAGCATGATATGTAGCTAGAAGAGAAAGTGCTGTTTTTGATTTTAGTTTATTTGCTTCTTTCCCTTGCTAGTTCCAGGTTCCTGTAACACTTGTCTCACAGGCTGGCTCTCCTCTGTTGGCTGGAAACACTTGTCAGAATGTTGTTTCCCAGGTAGGGACACTGACCTCAGATTCTGGACTGATGTATGTTGATAAACATTACCAGAAGTGCCTCGTCTTCCATCAAGTACCAGACCAGCCCCACATGAATTTTTGTGCATTACCTGAAACTTAACATGTCGTGAACTGAGCTCATCACCTTTCTCCCTACCATGTTTCAGGCGTTTCCGTTGCTACTGTCCTCTGGTATTTCCTGTCCAGGACGTTAAGATTATTATGACTCCTCTTTTTATACCCATATGCAGTTTATTATGGTTTTTACTGACCACATTTTCTTTTGTGACAAAGTCAGTATCATCTGAGAATCTGAAATAGACTCGTCAACCTCTTTTCCTCTATTCTCTCTCTTCCAATCAACCTACAGAATTAAGAATTATCATAAAACATCATTTTAAAGACTAAGAAATCTAAGGGTACCTTCAGCTGCTTATGACTTCCATCTCCGGCGACTATCTTTATTCATCCTCAGACATTGTGAGAGTCAAGTAAACCAGGTTTCCACTCCATGCTCACCTCTGCCTGTGATTCTACTCACCTTCTCTGCACACAATCAAAACTTATTTTTCTTCCTTTTAATTCTTACGGTAAACTCACCTCTCACATGAACCCTTTCAAGAACTCTATCCAGTCTCTTTTTTCGTGTGTGGATATAATATGAAGTCAACTTTATCTTTTCAGGGTTTTTGTGTTTGGCATTTTTGATTGCTTTTTTGGTCTCCCTCGTTCAGTTATTTTGTTATTGAGATGTAATTGACATATAACATTGTATTAGTTTTAGATGTACAACATAATGATTTGATATATGTATATATTGCTAAATGATTACCACAATAAGTTTAGCTAACATCCATCACCACACATAGTTATAAATTTTTTCTTCTTGCAACAAGAACTTTTAAAATCTACTCTCTTAGCAGCTTTCAAATATACAATACAATATTGTTAACTATAGTCACCATGCTGTACCCTTGTTCAGTTGTAATAAAACCCTTAAAGACAGGAAATCTTCTGTCCTAAACATAACTAGCCCACTTAATAATTTTTATTAATTGCTTCTACTCTTATATTTCAGGTCATCTATGAGATGGAGACCAACGGGACTTTTGGAATCCAGAAAGTCTCTGTCAGTTTTGGACAAACCAACCTGACTGTCGAGCCAGGCACTTCCTTACAGCAACACTTCATCATTCGCTTCAGGGTTAGGGCCCTTTTCATATAGGGGATCAAGAGGGGAGGAAATATCGGGTTGGAAATAGTACCTCTGCTTCTGTAACACATGTGAAATGGAATAAGAATATGAAGGCCTAGTTTACTCTGTTGATTGAAGCCTCAACATGTAATATTCCATAATTTAACTACAAGTGATAGAGATTCAGCTATGTTTATTTATTAACATTTTCTCTGAGTCTCTGTCTGGCCTCCAGCAAAGCAGGTCTTCAGTCTCTCATCCAAACTCTTTCTTTAGATGGTCATTTTGAATCATAAACTCAACCAACATCCCATGGAAACTCTTTAACTAGGTTTTCTCATATTTCTGGGCATTCAGCATTTTATTCACTTGCCACTTAATCTAAGTTTCCAGTCTTGATCACCATCTTTTGGCTTTCTTCTACTTTCTTCTTTTTTGAACCCAGCAGAGTCCAGTTTCTTCTCAGTTCTACCCTCAGATGATGAACCAAGTCCCGTGTCTCTCAGAATTCATCTCTGACACATTTATAGTTAATTAAAATATCCTTTTAAAGTTACATTTAAATTCCTCTGGTTGCAGCCAGGCTTCAGCTTCAACAGAGCCCTAAATTGATAGTAATTTTTGAGAAACAGGGTTGCAGATCATTGGTAGATCCTTGGTTGTAATCCTTGGTGGAAGTAACATATAGTGAATTTCAATATTCAGATCACTCAGGATTTATTTTAGTGGAATAAAAAAAAGTAAAAGAAACAGTGGAGTAGAAATTCCTGCAAAGTGCTGCACTGTGGAAGGCAGCAAGATCGTTCAGTGCAGCTGACTCAGTGCAGTTCCTCAAGGAAGGGTATGAAGCCAGGCGGTGGAAGGTGGAAGAGCTTGCTTTTCTCCATAAGTGACTTTCCTTCACTCTTTCTGCAGGCGTTTCAACAGAGCACAGCTGCTTCTCTGACTAGGCCTAGAAGTGGGAATCCTGGCTATATTGTTGGGAAGCCACTCTTGGCTCTAACAGGTGATATAAGTCACTCAGTATCCTTTTTGGCGCTGGTTGGCCTTTTGCAGCCCAGTGAGAAAAGCTGCAGCTGCTGATCTTTTGGATTTTCCGATTTTTGAGGTTCTACCATTTTTTAGGTATTCAGGACTTCCTTTACCAAACCAGTAATACATTCTGTTCTCAAATGTTGATACCACCAAAGGCTTTAAAACTTACGTTAGACTGGCCAAAGGTGAGGATTGTGACTGATTTTTGTTTGTTTTAATGAGATATTTATATGCCAGTATATGATTAACAATTTTTGGAAAAAACTAATTGTTCTGTGTGTTTTTTAATTACTAGAGGAAGAAAATTTGTGAATTGAATGTCGTGATTTTAATAAAATATATATAGTGCCAAGGAAACAATAAGAACATAAGTTTTCCAATCTGCCTATGTTTTTGTCTGTTATGATCTCCTTGACCATCACTTTCCACCTCAGATGAGCCTCTTGCAGAGCCAGGGTGATGGAACTTGCTCTGTTAAGAGACAAGAAGTACAGTTTGGAGTGAATGCAATATCTGGATGCAAGCTCAGGTAATTCTTCGCTTCCACATCATTTCCCACAATTTTGTGTCTGTCTGTAGGGAATATGTTAATATGGCAACTTTTATGTTTTGAATAACAGTTCAGAGAATGCTAGTTAGGAACAAATAGTCTTGTAAATAACATCAACATTGCTAAGAGTTTTCTGACAGTCCTTTATACCTACTAAGGATTATTTCCTCCAATTTATCTTATAATATTATTTCTAATGTTTGGATTAATATACTAGTAAGTCTACATTATTACGTTAGCATTGGAATCCAGCCTCCGTGGTGTTTCATTTCAGGCTAAAAAAAGTGGACTGCAGCCACACACAGCAGGAGATTTATCAGACTCTTCACGGAAGACCCAGACCAGAGCACGTTGCCATCTTTGGTAATGCTGACCCAGCCCAGAAAGGAGGGTGGACCAAGATCCTCAGCAGGAACTGCAGTGTTTCAGTAAGGAGAGAAATACACTTTCTGACTGAGACATACTTTCTCGCTTTGCTTGTAAATTATGGGTGTTAAAATTCAAACCAGCCCTGTTTCCATAGGTGATGGGTTGTCACAGAAGGACGGATAATGTGGTTGTCATGAAAGGAAGAATGTAAGAAATCATGCCCATTTGAAGTTGTTATTTCAGACTAGGTTTACCCCTAACTTATTTTTCTTACTTGGAGAAAAAATTTGAGGTAGAACATCTAGAGAATGCTCTGTGGTTCCAAGTCACACCATATATTTCAAATAGTCTCTTACATTCTTAAATATTTGGTTAGCACAGATTCTTTCTTTGTTGAGATTGTGTTCCTTCTGTTGTAAAAATTTACATTTTTACATTTATATATAAATACATTAACAAGTTAAAAATTCAAACTACAGAGAATGGTATTAAATAAAAGTAAAAACCTGAACACCCCCGCCCCAGACGTAACCTCATTTAGCTGTTTCTGCTTTTACTCTTTCTGACGGCGCAGTGGATCGGTGTGTGCAGGTATATCTCTTGACTCTGGTCTAAGTAACTTAAGGACGTTTGCTCTGCTGTTCTGTCTTCTTCTTTTGTCTACCCTCTACTTCCGATTTTATTCAGCTGTACTTTTAATTTTATTGCTTTTCATTTAAATTTTTAATTGTTTCTTTTTCCATATGAGTAATACATAAACTTGACTTAAAATCCAAAGAGTACAAAATAAAAAATCTCTTTTCTAGATAGCTCTTCTCTTCCACAGAGGCAACCGAAGTTACTAGTTTCTTTCCTTCCAGAGATGTTTCACGCTCGCACAAGTAAATACTCTTACATTCTTTTTTTACCCAAATGATATAATGTCGTAAACACTGCTCTGCACCTTGCTGTTTTCACTTGCTCTTAGAGTTTCTTCCATATCAGTACATTACAAGCTTCCTCATTCTGTGCATAGTATAGTTGTATAATATTCCATTGTATGGATGAAACATAGTTTATTTAATCAGTTTTATTGGTGGAATTCAGGTTGTTTTTTGTCTTTTGCTGTTACAAACAATGTGGCATTTCATAACCTGGTTCAGTCACCATTGCATACATGTGAGAATAAACCTATATGATAAATCTTAGAAGCAGAATTGCTGGATCAATGGGTATATACATTTAAAATTTTAATAAATATTGCCAATTTATTCCCCATATAGCTTTACCAATTTACAATCCCACTGTACAACCATCAGACTGCTTGTTACCGTATACCCTCATCAACACTGTGTTATCAAACTTTTTAATCTTTGCTCATCTGATAAGTGAAAAATAGCATCCTAGTGTAGTTTTATTTTTCTCTTACTATGAGTAAGGTTGAGTATCTTGACATAGGGTTGAACAATTTGTATTTTCTTCACTGTGATCTCTATATCTCTTGCCCATTTTTATTGAATTACTGATCTTATGACTTGTAGGAATTCTTTATGTATTTGAGAAATGGTCTCTTTTCTGTACTATGGTTTGCAGAAATTTTTTCCCAGTTTGTCATTTGTCTTTTGACTTTGCTTATGGTGTTTTTTGACATGCAGAAATTGATTTTTATGTTGTGAAATTTATCAATCTTTTTTTTTTTATCTCTGAGTTTTGGTTCAGACTTTGAAAGGCTTTCCCCTTAGAAATTATTTTTAAAGTGCCCCTTTTCCCTTTCTCAGCACTATTATAAATTTATTCCTTGTGTACTTCTTTCTGTTCTTTTAAGGAGACTTGGAAGGATAAGTAAATACAAGTATTCAATCCAGCCTTTGGGCAACTGAGGTCAAATAGAGTTCTTTTAAACCTCAAATATAGCCACACTATAGGGAGTGTGGTTTCGGGCGATAACATGGCTAAGCACAGAAAGGGGATGGTTAGTGACAAGGATTGAGACTATAGTGGAACTACTCTTTATTTTTTGTAAACCTGTTATTTATATTTTTTAATCACATTTTTGAAGAACATTTGACGAAGTAGAAAAATGTTCCTAATATAGAATAAACGAAAAGAAAAAGGTTTAAAAATATTTGGAACCAACACATGAAAAAATGTTCAACATCATTAGCCATTAAAGAAATGTAAAACCACAATGAGATACCAATTTATACCCACTAGGATGGCTATAATTTAAAAGATAGACAATAACAAGTGTTGACAAGGATATGGAGAAATTGGAACCCTCCAATTGGACTGCAAAATGGTGCAGCCACTTTGGAAAAATGGTTGACAGTTCCTTAATAAATTAAACATAAACATGACCTGTCTTCCCCTACCCCTACTTTATACATCTTATTGCCTATATCTGAGCCTTACTATAAAAAAGTATGAAGCGAGAGAAGCACAGACATGTTTGAGGATAGTTTGCATCTGCTAAGTTTATATAACCTCCTGATTGATGTTCTTACTTCCATCAATCCTTCCTGCCTCTTGCAGTTAATCCTCCTAGAGTCAGACTACTTGGGTAGACTTCATACTGTAACCCTGAGATGTCTTTTTTCTTAACCTTTTACTGCTCCTGTATTCAAATCCTTTGCTTCAGCCAAGTGGTGTGTTCAAGGCCAGTGCCTTGAACATGCCTGGCCCAAAGGAAACACTCAGTAACTATTTTTCAAATTAATCAATGAATGTCCTTCCATTGCATCATATGCTATTCCGGTTGCACACCTCTTTATATGCCATCTCTCTACCTCTAATTTCCTTTAATCATCATTTCTTCCAGTCACATATTACTTATCCCAGTTCCATGAAGCCATCCTCAACCAGAAATGGCTGTGTCTTTTGGCATTCCACAACACTGACTATGCACCATTCCCTGAGCGTTTCTTATAACCATTGTACATGGGCTCAGGTTTATTATTCTCTGTATTAGTAATTTCCATTTTAGAATATTTAAGATCAATAACAATAATTTTGGTCTATTGTGAACTTTTGTGTCCTTTCTCTAAACCACGTTACCTTCTCTGCTATTGTATAACGTTTAAGAGACAATGGCTGCTTAATGCATGGAGACTATCTGTAGGCAACCATCAGCAATTCAAGCAAATGCTTCTTTACCCTTCTGCAGGCTATGCATTGTACTTCCTGCTGTGTCATACCAGTTTCCCTGGAGATCCAGGTATTGTGGGCATATATAGGCCTCCAGTCCAACCCTCAAGCTCATGTGTCAGGAGCCCGATTCCTATACCAGTGCCAGTCCATACAGGTAAGTCATGCCTCATAAAAGACCACTAAGCCTTGCAAAACTGAGATTGTCTTATCAGCCATTTGATATCCAGATCATTTTTTAACTTCTTTTTTTTTTTTTTTTTTTAAAGATTTTATTTATTCAGTTTTTTCCCCCCAAAGCCCCAGTAGATAGTTGTACGTCATAGGTTCACATCCTTCTAGTTGCTGTACGTGGGACTCGGCCTCGCGTTGG